TTTTTTTTTTTTTTGAAAGTTAATTTTCTATTCAGTTGAGATACCTGTATTTTGTAGTTTGTTAGGCTGTGCTCTCACCGAGTTCATTGTCAAAGATTGTTTAGGTCTTACAAACGGATGCTTCTTAAGTTTTTCTATGTGGGTTTAACACCTAAAAATATTCCTGGCCTCAATGGGCTTTAGCCATTTGTTCTGATCCTAATTATTTTGATGCTAAATTGCCTTAAGTTGGCATTGCTGCTGGAGGAAAGGGAATGTACATTGCTATCCTGCAGGACCAGACTGTAGGTGAAGCTTGCCCAAATAGTTTGCTATTATATCATACTCTTTATTTATGGATCCACTTTTTAAATTGTATCAGCATGCAAGATGTATGCATTGTGCTATGTGCATTTGGAGTACTGTGTCAACATGGAGTAGTGTGTGTATGTTAATACATGTGTGTATATGTACATATTCTCATTTCCCCACCCACTGTCCTCTCTCACTAGGACTTTATAATTTGTAATGGTGAGATAGACAAGCAAAATATAAAGGAGATCAAATGCAGATCTCCAGAGTTCATGCCTTGTTAGTTTAGTCCTTTTGTTCTTTCCTCACTTTGCCCCTTTCCCTGATCTTCTCATCCCCCATTCCTCAAATGATGTCTTAGAAATGCCTGCTGACCACCTGGCAAAGTCAAAAAGTAAGTTTTTTGTAAAAATAAATAAATAAATTGGCGTAGGAGAGTCATGATAAGCAATCAAATAATGGCTTGTCCCTCATGAACTCAGTGTATTTTCCTGCCTGAAACTGCTAGTTGTTGCTTTTCCCTTTCTTGTTCTGATTGCCTAGTGTGGTGCATCTGAAGAGGAAATAAATTGGGGAAGAAGGCAAATGGAAAAGATATACAATCACAGAATGAAAAATAAGCTTAAGTATGACAGCAAGAAGTATGAACTAAAATATTAAATAGTAGATTTCTTTAAAAAAGAGGAACAAGTAGGTAGGAAAACAGTGGATGAGGAATTGTGGTTGTCAAGGTGGAAATTAAAGGGATGTGGAAGTGACTGAGGGGTGTGTAATATGGAGCATTCAAGTGGCTGAGGCTATCTAATCTTAAGGTTAGAAGAAGTTTCAAGAGGGCCTTAGGATTTTGTTGTGGTTTCCTTGCATGATGCTGCTTTTCACTGTTTGTGTCTGGATGATCAGTCAGTCTGTATAGTCTTATAATACTTTAAGACAGTCTCCAGGAAGAATGTTGTTACATATCAATGTGAGATAGCTCTGAAAGACTTTCCAAAAAAAAAAAAAAACATGAATAGTATCAAATATATTCAACCTAACAGGAGGAGGTGAAATTCTGATGTATGTAATGTATGTATGATGTGCATGTAAATTTTGTCTCTTTCAGAAACTGTCCTGGGTGCATTGGCTAGAGTGTTGAGGGAAGATTGGAAACAAAGCGTGGAACTTGCTACTAATATAATTTATATTTTCTTCTGTTTTTCAAGGTAAGCGCCAGGTTTCTGCTTTTAAGGATAAAAAAGGAACTATTCTCTGCTTGTGTGTTTGTAGGTTTTTTTGTGATTTGTTTTTTTTTACTGCAAAACTTTACTGAAATAGGAAAAAAAATGCTGTAGTGAAAACATGCTTGTTACAAGTGACAAAATTGAGGCACGAAAAGAATTTTTGCAGAAGTGTTAGGAAGAAAGGATGTGGTAAGGATTCCGATCCATAGGTACTAGGCTGTGCTGCTTCATACAATGCTGTATATTTCTCATATCTTCAAGAGCGAAGAAACAGCACTCAAAATTGAATTGTATGCTTGCACATGTTGCAGTAGTTTCATCTTTCAGCCCAACTTTATTAGGAAAAAAAAAATCAGATGAATTTATAAAGTAAATTGACTTTTAGACTTCTGTCTCCTGATGCATAGAAGGTCCTCTGAGGTACTTATAATGTGAAAAGTGGGCCTGAAAGGTAAACATTTCCTTTATTTGTAAAGATTGGAATTTGTTTTTTTTTTTTTTTTTGACTTGAAATAATATTCTAAAGTTGTTGTTTTCCTCCCATAAGAAAACTTCTATTTAGGGTCATAAGATTAATTTAAAAAGGCAAAGCTTATTTGATTCCATTTATCCTGATGTAATAAAGTACACCTATAAAACAAAAAAATACTGGTGAAACTTAATTTTTGCTCTGCCAATGCACTTGCAAGGAAGTTTGGCCTTTTAAAAGCTTGGAAAAATATTAATGTTTTCAGACTGTGTTATAGTGTTGAAATAATTTCTCAGTAGAAGAAATGCTATAAGGGGCAGAGGATAACTACCATTTTTGCTATGACAATTCTGCTCTGTTGTTCGGACCTTGCTACCCTGGATGTAAAAACAGGCTTGGGGTTGGTTGCAGCTTATTTCTTTCCTCAGACATATGTTTTCTTTGATACAGTTTTTCTCAGTTTCATGGACTAATCACACACTACAAAATCGGAGCTCTTTGTATGAATATCATAGATCATGAGCTGAAGAGACATGAGCTTTGGCAGGAGGAACTTGCTAAGAAGAAGAAAGCTGATATCCTTTCGATATGCTGGGGCAACTAGATAATCTCTGGTTTTGTTGCTGTTGTTGAGATCTGCACACAGCAACTTTTATGAATGCTGTGGAACTTTATAGTAAATGCAGAATATAATTGAAGATGCAAAAAACTAAGTGAGAATTTTGTTCTGATGAGGTTAAGTTTAAATTAATTAAAATGCAAAATAGATCTATTATATTTCTTATCAGTAGTATTTTAAGAAATTGTTGTCTTGGCTGTTATATATAGTTCTTTATGTAAGAATCTATGTGGGGGTCTTTTAATCATGGTGTGGATTACAGGTTTAGCAGGGTTCTGCTGAGGTAGTCTTTCTGTTAATTCCTCCTTAGTTTGTTTTCTTTTAGTGATCACCTAACGTCTGTGTGCACAATATTTATCCAGACTGTGTAACTCTTATATGCACTCCTTAACTCCTCCTATTTACTTGATGAAGATCCTGAAAATCAAACACTGAAAAAAGACTATGAGAAAACCTACAAGAAGTATCAAGGTCTGGTTATCAAGCAGGAACAGCTATTGAGAGGTACCAAAGCCAAATAGTAAATCCTTTCCTTACCTGTGAGTGTGGGTACAGTATCCTATGGGATGCTTGTTATAACTAGGAGGATGTGAGTAAACAGTGTGTGAAGGAATGTGTTTTACTGAAAATTAGGGAGATGATGAGTGCTTAATCAAATTGTTTAGTGGTGTGTTAACATACCATCGTGTCTGCTAATAATTTTTAAAATGATCTGTAAAGCTTGCAGAAGTAGCGAAAAGAGGTGACTTACTCTTTTTTTGTTAGTGACATTGGGTTTTGGCATGGCTTGAGTTTTGGTTTTACTTTTTCTGTTTTTTTTTTTTATTATTATTTTTTTGCTGTTGCTGTTTGGGTTTTGTGTATTTTGTTGTGGGGTGGGGCAGAGAAGGGAGTTTTTAATGGTTACTATGGAACCATTTGGTTTTTATTCCTATGGAATAAAAAGTTTTAAATCTAGTAATCATAAAATTTATGATTTTTTTGCAAAGCTAGTTTTAGAATTGTAGTCTTTTTGGAGATTTCTAAATGTGAATAAGAAGTACTGAGGGTCAATTTTCACTGGGAAGAGGGTGAAATGCTTCAGAAAGTCTTGTCTTAAATGAGCTTTATATATAAAGTGTTTAATATCAATGCCTGTAATGCCTGTGTTGGTGTGATTTGTCTTAGTGGCTCTTTACTTGCTCCTGAATCTTGCTGAAGACACTCGCACTGAGCTGAAGATGAGAAACAAGAACATTGTGCATATGTTAGTGAAAGCACTCGATCGAGACAATTTTGAACTGCTTATCTTGGTTGTATCTTTCTTGAAGAAACTCAGCATTTTTATGGAGAACAAAAATGATATGGTAAGTCTTATAGCAATCTGATGTTGGAAAGGGATGCATACTTGCTGAAAGCTGTGAATGGCTGTAGGGAAGAGGAGATATCTCTGTCTCCACCCAAAGTATCTATAGCCTATGGTTCTATATGTTTTTGGTGGTGGGGGTGGGGTTTTGTTTTTTTTGCCCTCCCTCTCTTGCCCCCCATTTTGTTTTGTTTCCTCCCTTTTTGGGAGGAGGACAAATTAAAAAGTTACCAAAGCAAAGAGGTAATCTGAGATTAGTTACACTTGGATTATGCAGTGAAAAGCTTTGTGTAGATGCAATGGAAAATTAATTGCATCTTTGTTACTGGAATTCTGTTATACTTCTTGTCTATAATGGTTGGTAAATATGCATGTGTATCTCCCATATTTATATAATGCTATCCTATTTTTTAAAAAAATAAGACCTCAAACATGTTTGAGGAATGTAGACTACTTATCAGGTGATTGATCTTTGATTTAATTTATGGTTGTGTAGTGTCCTGAAGCACTTTATTAGGAAAATAAGGATTGACTTTGCAGCCCACTGATTTGCTGGCAGCTTTTTTACATTCCATTTGATTTATTGGAAAGACAAATAAAACAATTAAAGTTTATTTTACTGCAAAGTATTTGAATAGCCATGAAAAGATGTTTGAAAAGGTTTGTATGTTTAAATTAGCTGTCTTTCTATTCTTTTCATTTCTGTCTGATAGTAGGGATGTATAGTTTATTCTCTAAAATATTACTATGGAAGATACTAGTGAAGATGTTTTGATTTTGGAAGCAATAGCACAAATTTTGAAGGCAAAATAAACCAAGGCTAGCTGTGCAGTACCTGGTTCTAAGTAAAACTAAATCATAGAATCATAGAATGCTGAAGGTTGGAAGGGACCTCTAGAGGTCATCTAGTCCAACCCCCCTGCACACGCAGGGTCACCTAGAGCACGTGGCACAGGACTGCGTCCAAGCGGGTTTGGAAGATCTCCAGAGAAGGAGACTCCACAACCTCTCTGGGCAGCCTGTTCCAGTGCTCTGTCACCCTCACTGTCAAAAAATTTTTCCTTAAGTTCCTGTGGAACTTTTGATGCTTCAGTTTCCGGTCGTTTCCTCTCTTTCTGTCAGTGGCCACCAGTGAAAAGAGGCCAGCATCATCCTCCTCACTGCCTCCCTTGAGGTACTGATAGACACTGATTAGATCCCCTCTCAACCTTCTCTTCTCCAGCTGAACAGGCCCAGCTCCCTCAGCCTCTCCTCATAGGGCAGATGTTCCAGGCCCCTGATCATCCTCGTAGCCCTGCGCTGGACTCTCTCCAGCAGCTCCACATCCCTCTTGTACTGTGGAGCCCAGAACTTTATTTCCACCCTTTATTTATAGCACATTCTTTCCCTTGGTATTCAAGTGCCTTATTAGACTCAAAGTAGTGGAGTAGGAGTTCTTTTTATCTGACTTATTTGATCAAAGGTATCCAGTCAGTTATTTGAATATTACCCTATGCTATGTGGTGAGATCTGCAGATTCTTTTCTTAGGATTTATTCTCTGTGTATTTATAACAGGAAGACTAATTACATAAATACAAAAGTTTGAAAAATACGAAGTAACTTCATGTGCTTTCTTTTGGCCAAAGAAGGTTCTGTGAGGCAGAGAATGAATTTCTTCAAGAGATTAAAGTAACTTCATGTGCCTTCTTTTGGCCAAAGAAGGGCAGAGAATGAATTTCTTCAAGAGATTCAAAAGACTTGACAAATAAAAGTAGAGAAATCGTGCTTAAAGGATGATGATAACTCTCTGAAGTCTTGCCAGTTGATGATCAGATGTCTTTTCTGGCTGGCAAATAGAACATGATCTCAGGAATTGATACCACTTAGATTTCATTTTTTTAATTTGAAAATGATACATGTTTCAAGATGCCTTTCATGCTTTTATTAAATTAACATACAAGGCAGCATGCCTTTTCTGAGAGCATATGTGAAGCTTGGTCTAGAGGTTCATTGAAATTCATAATGAAAGGTCTCAAATTCTTTGTGGATGCCAGTATCCTGTCTGTCCTGGTTAGGTATCTATTTGACTTAAATGTCAATTGCTCCAAGGTTACTTGTGTTTAAATGAGTTTCCTGCTCCCCTCCCACCCTAGTCTTGCACGTAATGTCTTTTGGCCATGTTCTCACAGTATTTCAACTGGGAGATATTTCCAGAACAGCTAAACTATTCAGTTCAACTCACCATTACTCAATAATGCAATGCAGAATACTTAAACCACACTTTTGTAAGTAAATGCTGCTTCTGATGAAAATGCATTGACAATCACTACTATGGGTGAAAATTGCACTTGTGTGCAAACTGTGAATATATAAAATAGGGCTTTTAAACAGAACACAAAGTTTAAGCTTCAATGACTGTGGACTTCATTCTTTATCTTGATATACAGGTTGAAATGGATATTGTTGAAAAACTTGTGAAAATGGTTCCCTGTGAACATGAAGACCTATTGAACATCACTCTTCGACTCTTACTGAATCTCTCCTTTGATACAGGCCTGAGAAATAAAATGGTACAAGTTGGTCTACTTCCCAAGCTCACTGCACTTCTAGGTATATTTCTGTTGCTCTAATACAGACATGTTTTTGGGACTGGGAAAGATGTGGGCATCGTGACGGTGTGCCTAAAACTTGCTAGTTTTATTTATTTTCCAAAGAATTGTATCACTATCTCCACCTTTTCTATTATTTGTATCATAGTTTCAGATAGAAGTCTAAAATGATGATGTTCTCAGTAAGCTAGGTTCCCATTTTCTCTTAAACTATTAATCTGTTACTTCGTCTTTAAATAACTTCGATAGCTAACCAAGAATCATTGAACTGATGCTTAAATGGTACTTGGAGTGGAGTGCCCAGGAAAAAAGCAGCTACTTCAGATAATTTAGGTGGTGAATATACCAACTACCTCTTTTTATAAAGCTTGCAGGTACCTACTGCATCTAGTTTAGTGATGTGTGGGTTGTTTTTGTTTGTTTGTGTTTTTTGGGTTTTTTTTGGACTTCAAGTTTGACAGTCTGTAATTTGTGGTAAGCTTTTGCTAGGTAGTCTAGTCCAGCTCAGACTGATCTTTTTGAAGGAGGAATTTTCTCGTTTCTCTTCAGCACATAGCACTGTGGTTTAGGACTTCACAGACGACTGACATGACTTGATTACCAAGATGTCGTAGCTCCCACACATTCTCTCCTTTAGAGTTTAATCTGATATAGGTGTTATTAGTTAGATACTTTTAATGTGCAACTCCAATGTGGAAAGGAGAATTTATCTTCAAATGCTATTCCCTTAGGCTGTTCCATAGAGTTGGCTGTTAAAATAGAAGTCTGTTCTCAAAGCATCTCTTAGAATAAGCTGTAGCAAAATCTGTAAATGCTTCAAAAACCATGTCTGACTCCAGAGGTGGTGGTTCTTTTCTTGATGTGGAAGTTGTCACTCTGCCTTGCACTGCCTTGCAGTGTGCTGTGTGGTGTGTGGTTTTTTTTTTTTTTTTTTAAAGTGTTATCTACCTATTTCCTAACTGAGCTCTGATTCACAAGAATTTTCTTGATAGGATAAATCAAATAATTCACAAATGCATAATTGTATATCCTGGCTCAGGAAAGCTTGTAATCTTAGTAATAATCGTTTGCCAGATGCCCCATTTTTACAGGTTATTTGGGCATTCAGCACACATTATTCAAGTCAGAACCCTTCAGTTTACATTTGCAGGTCACTTTAAGGTGCTCTTAAAGTGCTAACACACCTTAGCAGCTGTTGACAAGTAACCATACAGCTCCTAATACCAAGAGGTCAGGCTTGATGACTTGGTCTGCTGAAATTTACCCTTTATGCAGGCTGTGACTTTGAGGCCTTAACACTGGGTTTGAGATGAGTATAAATTAAACATATTAGATGCTTAAGAGGAGAGTTGAGATTGCAAGTAAGTAATGGACAGGATTTGTCAGGCAGAAGTTGAGAACTGAGCACTGAGGTGGTCTTTTTTGACAGTCTCCAATTTTAGAGGGCATGCAGCTTTCTCAAGGGGCACTTAATGGCTTGTGAGTAGGATGGACTCCTAAGGTAGGTTGAGGCTGGAAGTTGAGCAGATGGACTGGCCTTAACTGAGCTAGCAAAGCTAGCTAACTGTCATAGGTTGGAGAAGAACCATCCTCATCCTTCCCCTTTTGCTTCGCATCCTCAAGGCTACTGCTGAAAGCATGGACTTGAGAAATTTGCCTCAGTCTTTGTTTCCATTTTCCAGTCTTCATTTTCATTAGCCTTTTCTTAATAGCACCAGTGCTTGCTTCCTTGTGCAGTTTTGCCAGTCAACACCATTTACTAGTTTTTGTGGCTTCTCCTCAAAGTCTGAAGTATTGTATGTGACAAGACTCCTCCTGCCCCCCCTCCAGATGCCCAAGTTAATCAGCTGCAGCTGAGCTTTATTGTGCTCTGAATCTGAGCTGGGTGCAGCTGAGGGAAATTTAGTTTCTGACTTACTGCTCAGTGCTGAAGCAGAGCTGTGGAGGCCTGTAAGATAAAGCCTCGGTGTACTGGAGTATGTCTATATGCAGGCCTCTTGAAAGGGTGTGATTTGTGTGACTGGTTCTCCTTGTAATTCCTGAGTCCAGAGCGGTCATTTAAAAAAAAAAAAAAAAAGCCAATGTTATATTTGTCAAATATGTGATTTCAATACACTAGGGTGACATTCAGGTGAGTTCACCAAGTGTTTTAAACCGGACGTGTGCCAAAGAAGTGGAAAGCCCAGGTTTGCTGCTTTCTAATCATCACCTTGGAAGAAGAGCCCAAGCCAGCATCCTGCAGAACCTTGTGGAGAACTTTGTTGCACCCTCACACTGCTCTCATTTTGCTTTGTGTGGAATAACTAAAAAAGCGTGGAGTAGGAACGTAACTTGCTCCAAATAAATTAGAGTTTGGTTAGTGTATCTGTTTTTTTGGACAGTATACAGATTGAAAGTGAAAAATGTAGAGTTGAGCCCTAAGAAAGCAGATGCAGAACTTTCTTTTTGTTGTAGCTGCTCTTCCACTGCTGGACAAAAGGGGAAGTGCTACTTCTCTCCAGAATTTGTGATGGATTTCTACAGCAGAATGCCTCGGCAGGAAGCAAAGAGCATTTTGTCCACAGGAAAGAACAGGGAAAAGTCACTTCTTGTTTGGACCACATCTATTTTGGTATGGGGGTGTGTGGTTTTGTTTTTGTTTTTTTTGTTGTTGTTTGGCCGGTTAACTGAAGGGAGAAGAAACAAAGCCAATACAGGATTTTTAGTACAGTGCACACACAGCTTGTGGTTCATGTTCATCTGATAAGGGTGCTTTTTTGTTGTGTACAAGTGAGGTTTTTGATTGTCCTTTGTGAAGCAAGACAAATGGTTCAACGTTCTTGGTGAGTACAGCAGGAAGCTTGTGCAGACGCAGCTGAGTACTGTTGTGTGCAATGGGAGATGCAGCCTGCTCTCAGTGGACCTCTGTTGAGAAGGACCTGCTGGCAGTATGGATGTGTGCCAAGAAGTACTGGCATTTGTGTCCACCCATGAGTTGGTCATAGCTCTGCAAGGGACATAAATAAGAATGGTGTGGAAACAGTTACAGAAGGAATGGGGTTGATGCTTGGTGGACAAGAGGAGTAGGGAGGATTTTTTCCCTTCTTTAATGAGTATCTCTGGATGTATGCAGGGAGCAAAACTGATATGTGGGTTCATTATTTTGAGCTGCTGGGCAGTTGTTAAGTGCAGTGAAGACATGATGTCTTGAAACATGTTCTTTTTTCATTCACTTTTCCTGTGCAAACCACGTTTAAAAGTGAGAACCCAGGATGCTTGCATGTCAGATTCCCTTGTCATTGCTGCCACCATCACCAAAGTCTCTCAGCTTGCTTTAAATCACTAGATGCTTTTGAAAATCAAAGTTTGCTTGAACCGTGAGTATTACTGACCTGAAAAATGGATGTATTGCAAAACGATACCAGCTAGAAATCAGCCCCAAAGTGGGGGGAGAGTGCAGCAGGACTGTGCCTGTGCTAGTTTTCACATCGTGTCATGGTGTTTATCTCCAAAAAAACTACAGGCAATGAACATCTTGGGCTAGGTTTAAGTACAAAAAGCTGTGAGTAAAAAAATCAGCTTTATGGGTTTATTTCCATTTAGCCAAGCAGACGAGTTTGTTATACAGATACCCCTGTAATATTTCATATTTTCCCTTCTTTATAAGTTAGGCCTAATGGGCAATTAAGGAATTGCCAAAGAGTTGTAGGTTGGGTTTTTAAACAATCAAGGCTAAATATGGTATGCAGCCGAGCTGAATTGTACATTGACTGCTATTTAAAAACCCAAGAAGTAGTTTGCTGTCTAATTAATGGTGCACGGTGGATTTTTAATGTCTGTTCCTTTTATGAAAGTTTCTTTTAAGAAACCTGAAAGTAGATATGCTCTCTTTATGAATTCACTTGGTGTTTTTGTAATGAACTTAGTATGGAGCTTCACACACCTGTTGGAAAATGGAGCTTCTGGTAGGCTACTGTAGTGTTTTTTTTTTCCAATTTTAATAAGCCTCGCTTATCCTATAAAGAAATGTACATTTTCTTACCTGATCAAGTGAGCAAACAATAGGGGTCAGATGTGGCAAAGACCCTAACAAAAAGCACATGTCCAGCCTTTGGGGTGAGGTAAAGTCGTATCAGGATTGCTTGAAGTTATTAATGGCAGTAAAATTTATGCTTCCTCCTGTTTTCCCAATTAAATTGAGAAAACTTTTTTTTTTTTTTTTTTTTTTCCTGAGGAGAGATTGCAGCAGCTGGCTCCAATACTTGTTGTGTGAATATTGCCTGGGGTGTCTCCATTCCTTTATAGTAGAAGCTGGCTGAAGCACATTAAGTAACAGTTCAACTGCAGGGACCAGGCTGTTGGAAAACAGTAATTAAGAGATTTATTTTAATGGTAATTTTTTATCATTTGTGGTGAGCATGACCAAGTTTTTTTAACAAAAAAACTTGAAGTTTAGCCTCTAAATCTCTTTAAATTTCTAGATAAACAGTTTTGCTTTCACTAGTGCTGAGAACCTAGCATGTTCTACTGACTTCAGCAAAATGTTGGGTGCACAGCATGTCCTGGCATCCAGCAGTCATTTACATACCTTAGCTGTGAAGTTAGTCAGCAAACTTTAATATTGTTGAAGAGAAAAACAGCTTCTGATGTTGAGCAATATAAATTCAAGGTAGAAAGGCTGCAATATCATTAGTGCTGTTTGAAATAGGATCCTCTCACTTTTTTTTTTAGGGCAAAAACCTTCACCTGCTGCATGTTAATGGTGAGTTGTCAGTAAAGGGTAACTGGAACAATTTTTATATTTGTTTGAAAGTGTTTTTTTTTTTTTTTTTTGAAGTCTGTCTAACATTTGATTGATTTCTAAGTACTTTAAGACTAAAAGTGCTTTAGTTTCAAACTGTCAAAAGTTAGAAACAAAGCTTGTTTCCAGATTTGTAACTGTTACAAATAGATCCTTGTTACTGTTCAGATGAGTGGAAACTCATTGCAACATGCTGCTCTAATGCTGGCATCAGACAAAAG